TGACAAATATATAGACAAAATATATAAATAGTTCATGTTTGTTTTTGCATTAACCAGGTGTGGATTTCTTTTGAAATTCATAAAATGGATCAAGATGTTATATGAGTTGTCTACATCTAAAGTAAAGATTAATGGTTTGTATTCTGCTACTTTCTCTTTATTTAGAGGAAGTAGACAAGAATGTCCACTTTCACTTTTGTGCTATTAGACAACTATAGGGACATGATATAGCTAAAAAACGATTGTGGTTTACCATAACATTGTTTCTATCCAAGATAAAATTTAAAAGTGAAAACTTAAATACTAGCTAAAAATAAATAGTTTAGCAGCCTGAAGTTAAAAATAGGGGATATTAAAGCATAGAAGGTTTTAGACTTTTAAAGACATTTCTGAAAAATTTCAAAAGACTGATCTTCATCCAATTATCTTTAAAAAAATCTAGTTAAATACTAAAATTGAAAATTCCTATCATGAGCAATAGATCTTGCGAGACTAAATGCCTTCCTGCACTGTTCGTCCTGTTTATAATCTGGGATGATTATAGTATGAAATTTATTCTTGTCTATTAAACGATACCAACACAATAATCTTTCCTTAAGATTTCAACTCTCTCATCAAGCATGTAAAACTTCATCATAAAAAGACTTTATTAACTGTCTGAAAAAAGAGGCTGCAATTTGACTTGTCTTCTCAATATCAAGTTGTTATTCTTAACAAGGTTAATTGCAAGAGTAGTTGCTGTTGTTGTTCAGTCATTCAGTCACTTCTGATTCATTATGAACTCATTGATATCATTTTACAAAGTGTCATTATTAATACCGTATTTCTCATATAATAAGGCCAGGTCTTATTTTTTTGAGCCCCGAAAAAATGGCTAGGCCATCTTGTTGGGGGTGACTTAATCCCCCACCCTTGCATAATCAGGCGGGCGGGCAACAATGGCTTGGATGTTGACCTCGGCGTTGGTGGGGCACTTCGTATCGGGAGACCTTCCACCACCGTTACTTTCCCTTCTCCCCGTGCTGCCATGGCGTTTGGAGCAATGCCACGTCATTTGGCGCAGCCACGCAGCATTTGGCACAGCCATGCGGGGCCAGCTAGGGCTCCTCCCTGCAACTGGAGCCCGGCAGAGACATTCGGCTTTAGGCGCTCCTGTTGCCGCCTTCCTGGGCATTGTTCGAAGGCAAAGCCCATTCTTTTAAAAACGACGCCCTACTACCGGTACGACAAAGCCTCCCCTGCCTGAGAGGGCAGACCAACCCCACGTGGGGAGGCAAATCTCCCGGGGCCACAGCGCAGGATCGGCCCACCCCGGGAAAAGCGCCCAGCCACCATCCCTGCCTGGCTCTGGGCAGAGCATGAAGAGCTTTGCCTGGGGTACCCAGCGCAGCTGACAGGTGGGTCCTCTTGCCTGTCAACGGAGCTATGGCCAAGGCAGAGAGTGCCTACCTGCCAAGTCCTCCGCTCATCTCACCAGGACCACGCCGGAGCTGGGTGGGCCGGGCAGAGCCGAGAAAGCAAGCTGCGGGTGCGCGCCTGCCTGCCAAGTGAAAGAGCTGGGATGACTCAAACTTGGCTTCCTTCCCAAGTCCCTCCAGCCTGACCCCAAAGGGGCCACCGGGAGAGGCCACCTGAGGCAGTGATAGCGCTCACCCATCTGTGGATAGGGAGGCAAGGCGACGGCCCATGCCGTGTCCTCCTCTGAGCTGAGCCCCGCTGACTGAGCGCCGATGCCCATGCCACTGCAGCTTTTGGAGCTGCCGGCGCATTTGGAGATGCATGGGGATGGGGACGGGCTGGGTGAGGAGTGGAAAGGACAGGCGGCTTTGCGCTTTCTCCATCTGACCTGCTGGCCAGGGAAGCAGCGCTGCCGTCGCCTCGCCTGCCTGTCCGCGGATGGGTGGATGCTATCACTGCCTTGGGCAGCCTCTCCTGGTGGCCCCTTCGGGTCGGGCTGGAGGAACTTGGGAAGCCAAGCTCGGGTCAGCCCAGCTCTTTCACTTGGCAGGTGAGCGTGCACCCACGGCTCGCTTTCCCAGCTCTGCTCAGCCCACCCAGCTGCGGTGCGGCCCTGGCAGGATAAGTGGAGGACCCGGCAGGGAGGCGCTCACTGCCTTGGCCATAGCTCCGCCGATGGGCAGAAGGGCCCGCCTGTCAGCTGCACTGGGCACCCCAGGTGAAGCTCTTCACGCTTTGCCCGGCACCAGGCAGGGATGGTGGCTGGGTGCTTCTCCTGGGATGGGCCCATCCTGTGCTGCGGCCCTGGGAGATTTGCCTCCCCACGTGGGGTTGGGCTGCCCTCTCAGGCAGGGGAGGCTTTGTCGTACCGGTAGTAAGGCATCATTTTTAAAAGAATGGGCTTTGCCTTCGAACGATGCCCGGGAAGGCGGCGACAGGAGCGCCTGAAGCCGAGTGTCTCTGCCGGGCTGCGGTTGCAGGGAAGAACCCTGGCTGGCCACATGTGGCTGTGCCAAATGCCGTGTGGCTGTGCCAAACACCACGGCGTTGCTGTAAACACTGTGGCAGCGCGGGGAGAAGGGAAAGCAATGGTGGTGGAAGGTCTCCCGATACAAAGTGCCCCACCAACGCCGAGGTCAATGCAGGCAGCACCATATCCGGTTGTGCAACAAAAGTACTTCCTAATGGCAAGCCCCCCCAGCACAACAACACCCCCCATTTCGCATGTTTTAATATAGGCCTTAATTTGGGGGGAGGGGCTTAATTTCATTTCATGCCTATAAAACATGCTGGGACTTCCTATTGGGGGAGGTCGTATTGTTGGAGAAACACGGTATTTCAGTACATAGTCTGCTTTTACTTCATCTAGTATTGAACAACTGGTTTTTCTTGTAGTCCAAGTTATTCTCTAAAATTTAGTTTCTCACTCATATCCATTTTTATTCAATCATTCATTCTGATACTCCAGCTTTCATAGCTTTATCTTGTAATTCTGAAAACCACAACCTTGATAATATATCCCTTTGTTGTCATTGAGATGTTTCTGTGCTTTAAATATTTTGTCTAGATCTGTCATAATCTTTTCTTCACGTGGCAGACATCTCTATTTCATGGCTACAGACATGTAAAATGCTGAGCCTAGGAAGATAATGCTTGTAACTACTTCAATTTATCTGCCTTTAAGCATTTGGTTAGTATTGTCTGTTGACATAGTCTTAATTTATTTAAAAGTTGAGCAACAGCTGGGCTTTTGCACTCCTGGCTTTCAACTTCAACAAAAATTTCTTAAGCCTTTCTTGTTTGTAGATATTTCAACGATGTCATTAGTATTATAGAAATTTTAATTCCAATTTCTATTTCTTCTAGTCTTATAATATTTTCTGCATATAGATTAATCAGCAAGGTGGCAGGACACAGCCTTGACCCATTCATTTCCAAGCTCCAAACCATTTTTCTGTTTCATATTCTGCCATTATACACATTTTGCCTATGAGTGTAGGAATAGCTGGATATCCTTTTGTCTTTAATCTAGCCATACCATAAACATCAGTGCTACTTGTGCTTGGCTCTGGTCTTTCCAAGTAGCACATTGACTCTTTTCCAATATGAAGGGCTTATCTTGTTAATAGACTCCTGATTGTGTTTATCTGTTTGGCTTTTTTGGCAGAATACTGGAGTGAATCACCATTTCCTTCTTTCAGTTAAGATATATACTTCTCAGCCCTTTCAAATCTACAATTTTCAGAGTAGTGTACTCTTAATGTATTTTATATGTCTCTGATTGCTAACATTTCTCAACTTTTGTGGGAATCTTTTCTCAATTTTTATGATTATTACGGGGGAGGGGAGGAGGAGATGAGTAGTTGATGGCAAAGCTTTCTTGGAAGCCATCAAAATAATTAAAATAACCCAGACCCCCTCCAATAACAAAATAAAAGATAATCACATTTCTGGTTCCAATAAAATAAATTAAGTAGTTATTTGAGTAATAAAAACAGAGCCATCTTGACTAGAAATCACAAATAGTATATTTAGCTGCATTTCAGAAAAAAAACTATTTTAATTTCTTCATAAATAATATAACTAAATAAATACATTTTCTCCTCAAACCAGCATATCCATACATGTCTTAACCTCAAGTATGTAGGTGTGGGTGCATTTTGGTTATTTTTTAAAATAAGAAACTGGAGTAGCTTTGTTCCAGTTTGTTCATATTAATCTTGAAAATCTAGTTTAGGTCAATTCACTTTGAATGGTTCATGGAACAAAAATAATATTAAGCATCCCTACTACACAGTCTGAAGTAGTTGGAAATATGTATGCCTATCCTAAGCAGGTTTATTATGTAGTTAACATTTATCTTAGTAATATGAGATGTGTGGATACACTTACACACAAAAAAATCCTTAAGAATAACAGATAGCTTTCTGCTCGTACAATACTAATTTAATATGAAGAATGTTAGAAGCCTGGAGTCCTTTCTCCAGATATAGCTCTGTAAATGTAGGAGGTTTTTGACACGGAAGATCCTTTGAATATGTCATTGTCTATTTTAAAAATATTATTCCAGTTGGTTATTCCTAAACTGCATTATCATTAGGTATCATGAGGCAAGTCTATGGATAGAGTGTTTGGTTTTTACAGAATCTGCAACACATTAATATACATTAATTTGTATATACATAAACAAATTTCTTACTATTCTAATATATACTGAATTACATATACTTTGGATATTTTGGACCTCCCAGTCCATGGTTAGAAGTGGAAGCTGAATATCTGGAGAATTTTAGTTTAGAGGAGGATTTTTTAAAGCAGGGGTGTCAAATTCAAGGCCTGTGAGCTGGATCCAGTCTGTGGGGTGCTTTGATCTGGTCCATAGGACCATCCTGGAAACAGTGTAGGACCGGCCTGTGGTGCCTTTGCCAGTGAAAACAGAGCCCCAGAGGGCCACATGAGTCCCTCCAGAGCTCCATTTTTTTCTGGCAGAGGGTTGCAGGAAGCCATTGAAGCTGGAAACAGCTCGGGAGGATTGTGCATGGGCCTCATGAGCTCTGGTTTTGCTGGCAGAGGGTTGCAGGAGCCTGTTGCAGCTGGAAATATAGCTTGGGAGCCTATTTTTGCTGGCATAGAGCTCAGGCCACCATAGGCACCCCAACATGAGTGATGTTGAGCTGGCCATGCCCATTCTGGCCATGGCCCACCCCAAGGTCAAACACAACTCTGATGTGGCCCTCAATGAAATCAAGTTTGGCACCCCTGTTTTAAAACATTTAGTTTACTTCTACCTTACATAGTTACGTGTTTGATAAAATCAAAGTCAGATTCTATTGTCAAATTTCAGATTTTGAACTACTTCTGTAAATATTTAATTGCTTACTCAGGAATAGCAAAAATTAGTAAATGTTAAAACCAGCTAAAATAAATTTAAATTTTTAACAATAGCAAACATTCTTACAGTGGTCTGTAATTTCTTAAATCTTGGGGATTTGGATAATATTTCATTAAAAGAGATAATAGCAATAGCAATAAGACTTCATAATGGTATATCATCAGCACTCTCTAAGCGATTTTCGGTCAGCATATTGCCCCCATAATCTGGGTCCTCATTTTACCAACCTCAGAAGGATGGAAGGCTCAGTCTACCTCAGGGGTGTCCAACCTTGGCAACTTTAAGACTTGTGGACTTCAACTCCCAGAATTCCTCAGCCAGCAAAGCAAAGCTTTGAAAGCTTTATGAACCAGAGTGGTTATTCAGCAGGTTCTGAACAGTTCTGGAGAACCGGTAGCGGAAATTTTGAATAGTTCAGAAAACCGGCAAATATCACCTCTGACTGGAGATTTTACAGTATCCTTCCCCTGCCACACCCATCAAGCCACGCCCATAGAACCGGTAGCAAAAAAATTTGAATCCCACCACTGATATGAACAACAGGTAAGCAGCCCATGAAGAAATATAAATATCACTAGCATTTCTTTGTGACTGCCTGGAATAAGATAGTTTGACCTCAGTAATCCATAGCAACTTTTACGTCAAACTACTTAAAAAGTTATATATTATGTATGGAAAGTCTTTAAAGATAGTTAAAAAATTACATTCCTCTAAAATATAACTTTGAGGCTGAATTTGTTCATTCATCATGAACTGGTGTCTTAATTCCCATGGATCATTTCCAATTACTTTCATGACTTAGATTGAAGATAATGGATTATCTCCTTATCTTCTGTATGCATATCAAAGTCTTAAATGAAAGTTTTTCCGAGAATATATTAAGCTTGTAAATCTCAGCGTTGACAGTTATAAAATCAGTCAATTAATCCCTTAGAAAAGGACAGAGAAAACAGGATATGAAACAGATAAGTGGGAATGTTACAGACTAGAGCATAATTATATGCCCATTCTTCAGACTGAAACAAAATAAGAGCAGAACTTTGAGAATAAGATTCAAATATCACCCCCATAGATTTGTACAAATGATAATAAAAAGATTGAAGTAAACAACTTTGTCAACTATTTAATATATTGTGGCAGATACAGTTCTGCTAATAGAGAAATTCACAATAGTATTTAAATTTTGATTGTAAAAAACTTTACATTCCCTACAGAGATCTGCAATAACAGTTGAAATGGAAAGGTATTTCCTTCAGATCAATGGTTGTTTAATTAGAATTGATGAGTCAGCACCCACTTGGGGGCTATTAATTGCAGCCAGTCGTATTCTATAGGAAATTTTTCAGGCTTATTACTCCTACTACTATTAAAAGACAGAGATTTAAAAATGGATATTTGGATTTGAAGCTATAAAATAATTTCTGAAAGTACTGTAAGGACTGGGTATTAAGAAAATTACTAAAAAATATTAATCTATATCTTCATTCTATAATGTTTTCATTATATGCTATTCATTATATTTGTACTAAAGTCTTTGTTAAACATTGTATCTGCTTTTTCTTTTTAGCATAAAGTATTTGTTAAACCTTTTTATTGATTTAGTTTTAACATTTGCATCTCATTCTTCAAAATCTGACTTTCTTGAAGCCACTCACACCATTCTATTTAGGTAATATTTTAGGATCAAAGGTTTATATGCATAAAGAGAAACAAGTTGGAATAATATATTTGTTCCTAGTTATATTTAAAGGATATATATTCCAGGAATATATTAGAAATATATTATGGTGTAAGTACACAGGGTTTATAAGAGCTGATTTGATGTAGTGGTTAAGGCATCAGGCTACAAGTCAGGAAGTTCTACTCCTGCCTTAGGCAAGAAATCAGCTGGGTAACTTTGGGTCAATTTCTCTCTATCAGCCCTGGGAAGCAAGCAAGCAAAGGGAAACCACTTCTAAAAAACCTTGCCAAAAAAACATCAGGGATTTGTCCAGACAGTCATTAGGAGTCGTAAATTGACTTGAAGGCAAAACAAACACACACAAAAATCAAAACCTGTGCTGTCCAGACAGTTTAGAGTTAATGGGATTTGGATAGTTAGGTAGCAATTGTGAGCTGTCCCCTTAAGGGAATGCATCATGGTAAATGTATCCTGGAAAATATAGTCCATATCACATGACCACATCAGTAATCCTGATTGGTCACTAAATTGACCCTCGAGGAGTTGGGGGAGTTTTCCTCACTCTTGGCTGAACTAACAGACTCATGGTAACTGTTCTACTTCTATTGCCACGATATGTGGGAAAAAGGATAGCAGATAATCATCTTTTTACCTACAAGACAGATATGCAAAGGATTGGTCATTAAAGAAGAACTTCATCTGTGTGAGCTATGAGGATACCTGATGAATCAATAAATGTACTTTGTTATGGACGTCTTGTTGAGTTTATCTTTCTGCATCTGTACAGAAGACAAATCCACCACTGTACAGAATACAGAACAGTAAAAAGGATGATTAATTTGAAGTCCTGAAGCCCATCAGTATAAAGACAATTAATTTGGATTTGTGATAAAGCAAAGTAATGTTGAAGCCAGGAGTGAATGTGGAATGCTAAGCTCTGTGCCTCAATTTGAATTGCAGGGAGGGGCAAGAATCCCTCCCTTCCCCTTTTACGCAAGAAACTCTTCAAATATCTTATGCTCGGGCTTTCAAAGGCAATCAAATTTGTCTCCTTCGATCCTTTTTTTTCTCTTCCTCTATTGAGGCTGGAATACAGAACAAAACCAACCTATGCCTTAAGTACCTTATTGGCCAAATTTCCACTTCACTTATTTTATGAATATAGTTGATAACTTCTTTGATCCATATTGATAAAAACACATACTGATAGCAACATAACTGAGTTTGAGTGCTGAGATACTGTAACTCCCACCTGTTCTCTACAATAACAATCCTTACAATAGAGCAAACTGAGACATACCATTACACCACAATTTTCAAAACAGTTATTGCTAACCATGAATAAAGATAAACATATGATTTAAATTAGTCATTGACCTATATTCAAACTGAAAATGAATCAAGAAAAACTGATCAATTCAATTTTATTACTTCAGAATTGTTATTACTATTAAATCAGTTTTTCTCATTTTGTTGCTTTGCAGATGTGACATGATTACATTTCTCCAAGTCAGCATGTTAGGTGACTATGAGGCTGGGAAAAATTGTGGTAGTTAAAATTAGACATCTGCCTCAGGTATTTGTTAAGTGTTATTTATATGCATTGCTCTTGAACCCAGATGTTCCATCATCTGGAGGCAATGTCTTGTGGTAGAAATGTTTCTTACTGCTGCATTTAAACACATAGCTGCCTTCTATAATACTTCATAGACTACACTGCTGGGAAATATTCCTAATCAAGACAAATGCAACAGGCACTTCAGCCACCTGTCCTAACAGGTGAGCTATTGGCAAGAAAACTCACAAAATTTATTTCTCTTGCCATGTACATGTATACATCTGAACTAGACTGTGTTGATTCTCTGTGTCATATAATATATGTGGGTATATGCATATGTATGTATGTATGTATTTTGTCATGTTTATGTAGTGTATATTAGAGATAGAGACCCTTTGAGAGCTGTAAGCAACACAATTTCATTTTAATGGATGCCAATTAATGTACATTCAAAGTGACAAAAAGTGATTTTAAGATTTTTAGATTAGATTAGGCTGTTAGCACATACATTGTTCTGCTCTCATAATACTTGCTGGCACTCCTGCATTAAGGTATGATTAAGGATGCCATCACATGCTAGGAGTAAAATAAAATTCCAGTTTCATCACCTTCAGTAGTTTGGAGAAAGTAAGAAGGATGAGCTGTTAATTTGTCCTTCAGATCAGGTTGAGCCTGAGACCAGCAGAAAACAAATACAACACCCTATATTCTACCTTGAACCTTTATTGGATAAACTCAATCATATCACCATTGCCCTAGATAGAAGATGGCTTATATATTTTTTAGTTATAGCCAAGTCCTTCAAGCTTTGTATTTGTGTATCTTGTCCCTGATAACACTACATGCAATAATCTATGGCTACTAAAAATTAAAACTGATCAGAATATGGAATTAATTTTGAAATGTTTATAAAAATAAGTATGAAAAGAATGTTATTTAAATCATACTTATGATACTAGCAATGATTTAATGTATGATTGGCTTCATTTATGCTCATGGATGAATATGTCAACAGAAAGTTAGATAACTCTGATTTATTGGAACATTACCCAGTTTCATGTATTGGCCTATTATCGTCTAGAAAATATTACCATTATGGCATTTGAAGTCAGATGCGGGCAAAATTAGGATGGAAATCTTGCTAATTTAACTACTAATTAAATACATTATCCCATTTATTTAAATCTCATAGCTATTACCAACGATGACCGGTAATTCTGTGCATGAAATATATAAACATCTAATAAAAATTGAAGCGTATCATGGATAAATAGTAATAAAAGTCAGAGAGTTGTGGAATAAATTCCTTACATTAAGTGTTCTTGGAATCAAGAATAGCATTATTTTTTCCATTTTTATCTTATATCAAGACCACCCTGAAGAATAACTTAATTGAATCACATCCCAAAGATTCCATATTTATCATTTAATTTATAAGTTAGTAGATAACTAGACATAACAAAATTTGCAAATTAAATTATGACTGATCATTGTACCAAGCATACATTATTTGACCATAGAATAAGTATTTTAAATCTAGCAATAACTAATCCATGTGGAATAAGAGGACATAATTTTACACAATAAATGGAAAGTTGTTACCTGTATCCATATATGGCCTGAAATAATTGCTGATCCTGTTTAGTGAAATAGTTGGTTAGAGACTTACTTGTACAAAGCAGAAAAAAACAATGAAATTGTTCAGTTTTCCAGTTTTTGTTCTGCCTTCTTAGATTAATGTAGTCTTATGATCCAATGATATATTGATAGTTACAAAATGCAGAAAATTTGAGGGCATCAAAGTAACATATCATGGTAATGCACAATTTATCAACATAACAATTTATTGCTATGACCATAACTATACAGTAGCTGTAAGAAAATTATAGAAAAACAGGGACACATTGCTTTAAATACATGAAAAATATCTAAGAAAAAACAAATTAATGAAGGTTTGGTAACCCAGAGATATGAGTCTAAGGAAGGGGAAGAAAAAGGGGGAGGAGAGGAGAGGAGAGGAGAAGAAAGGAAAGGAAAGGAAAGGAAAAGGTTAATAATAAAAGGATAAATCATTTAAAACTACACGTGAACAATGTCTCAAAAACTTCAGAATCTATATACAGTATATAAAAGCAAAATACCGCTCACACATCATCACAAAATCTCCAGAACCATAAAGCCTACAAACTTGAAATTTGGCATGTATGTTTCTTTGGGCTTCTAGGTGCCCACTAAGAAAGGATTTTTTGAAAATGACCATCAGAGCATTTCGTATATTATTATTAACACGCTCTGATGCTAAGGAGTTCTACAGGAAAACAAATCTGTTCAAAATGCAAAACACAAGCAGAGGAGAGGAGTTTCAGTTTCAGTTTCACAGCAGCAACCAGCTTTAGTACAGAATAGTTGAGCTAAGCCATGCCCAGGCTCCTTGCTGTCTTCTTCTTTTGCACACAGCAAATACTGTTTCAGTTTCCAAACAGCCTTCAACTCTCTTACACACTGACAGGACACTAGCCGGATGAATACTGATGGTAGGCAGAGGTACAATTTTTCCCCTTATTTTCCTCCCCAAACACTAAGCCCGATCACATACTTTTGTAGTGAAGCACGAGTATACAACTAGTACAGAGATATATGTATGAGTTTATTATTATGTTCTACCTTTCTTCCTATGTCAATTGTTTCACTTTGCTATTATTTATTGTAGGGAAAATAGAATTTATAAAAGTATTTCCAAATTATAATAAGAAAAATCTCAAAATAAGAAATGTACGGGTATGTGGTAGAATTCAGCCCAAATCTGAAAGAATATAGTCCACTCTTACTTGAATTTCTTTTTCCATCTATTTCCTGGAAGTTCACTCTTCCTGCACTTCCCCCCCTTCTCCAGCATTCTTAATTACCTCCAGGTTGCCCTAAAATGTTTGTGGAATCCTGATAGATTTGCCTCACAGAATCTGGGCTGCAACTATTTAATGGTTTTGCCCTATCAAAACAGCTTAGCTGGTGGCAGAAATTTCAATGCAACAAGCATAATGCAAACAAAATGGATAACAAACTTGTAGATCTTAGAATGTACAACTGTACAGCATCACAGCTATGTCAGGGCAAGCCATAAAGAGCATTGCTTCTTAATTGTAATATACTGTATATAACTGGCTTAACTGTACTACACACACACACACACACACACACACACACACTTCATTGGTTAATTGAAGTTGAACACAAAATGTCTAGAAAGATGTTGGGGTTTTTGACATTGTTTCCCACTGATGATGACTTCCTCAGAATCTGATAACAAATATTAAGGTGGAACCATATAACTGAATTTGTCATACTTGACCTCTTCATGGAAAAAGAGGCGATTAAAATTCATTATGTGTGGCAGAGAAAAAAGTAATAGGAGTGTACATTTATATAGACTTACTGTCATTGCACAGTACTTTTAGAAAAATGGAAGAAAGCCACTGATATTGATGATAATTAGTTGCTTTAGCTGAGAATATCCATTGGACATTCTCAGAAAATGCTCCTGTCAACTGCTAACCACCTACCTTCCTGCAGAACTATTCTTATTTTCTCCCTTCCATCACTATTTATTTTTCTTGATTTTTTTTTCCAGGTAAGTTGCCACATCTTCAAACAATGCCATTTACCCTTTTCCTTTTATAGAAAACACATGACTTCACTTGAATGGGAGAATCACCGGCATTTTTGGAGCCGCGTTTTAATTAAGTTATTACTATAGTTCATTGCACAGTCAGCCAGATGTTTACACTGGATTTGATATTTTTATCCTTCTTGAGATCTTACCTACTTTCTGGGATATGCAGATGTTATTGTGTTAAAGGTGTTAAAGATATTGCCACAGGATAAAAGCTGTTCCAAATAAAGTTGCCTTTTTCAATTGGGTGATTCTATCAACACCAATGGCCTTCAAGTGGAGTGTATTTTTATTATTTTTCAAAATGTAAGAAGTCAAATGAGCAAGGTGTATGATGGTATCTAGGGAGATGTCCATGGGCACTTTGGGATCTCCAGACACACTGATGATCTCAGGGACAATATCATACTTAGTGCTGTGCAGATTCCTGCTTATTGTTCTGTTCTGCCAAGGTTTGTACATCAGCAAACAACTGGTAGTTTTTATTTCCAAAAATGTGCCATAGATCCCATTGATCATGTGTTTTTCATGATTAAGAAGATCAATGCTTATTAAAAGCTTAGCATATTTTAAAGTACATATTTAATTTTGAGATGTCTACACTAAATAGATCCCATGGCAGTGAATATAAAACATTCAAGAAATACAAATAGATTTTTTTTCAAACCAAACAAAATAACCATGCAAAAAATAAAATGGAGACGCAACAAGCAATAAAGCAATAATACCCCAAGCAAAAGCAAATCCATTAAAATGCCTGGAAAAATACAAGCATCTTGACCTGGGGCCAAAAATATTATCATGTTGGCGTCAGCTGGCAGGACTTCTTTAGGGAGTGTATTCTAGTGTCATGCCACCATGACAAAAAAGGTCTCCACCTCACTTCTTCATTGGATCATATAGCTTCCTGTTAAGAAAGAAGATGACATTTTTTTTCAAGGAGACACTAGGGTGTATGTTTGAACTTGCATAGGAAAAAAAAACCAAGAACATTAGTTGTAGCAAGAGCAGTTTCCACTACTGCCATGACTGAGCAGAAGATCAGCTTTCATTGCTAATGTACCAAATTTCATTTTCCATTGTTTTTTTAACAACAAAAAAGTAAAATAAAATACTTAATTAGGATCTTGGTTTTAGAAAGTATAAAAGAGTAATATTCTTCAGCTGCATCTTTTTTAACATTCTGTTTCTTGTTATCTTGCTGGACAGTAAATAAACGGAAAAACCCCAAATTAATTATTTCAATGACTTTACCGCTTTCCCTGGAAGCTACAATCTTGGAAAATTCTAATTATAAAGCAATTCAGTTTGTTTATAACATGCTTTTGATTTTAATTCCACTGTATTCTACTGTTGGAAAATCCATTTGCCATCTGTTTTGGGAGAAGCAGCCACCTTATATGTTATAATTTGCCTTGTTTTAGTGACTTTAAGTTAATAACAAGATATTTCAAAAGCAAACCACATTATAATAATTTTATTAATAAGGACTGCTTCAGATTTATTGAACTGAAGCTCTGTAGTTCAGGCTTAGTAGTAATTTTACTTTTTGGGGTCTAGACAGAAATAAGAGAAAACTGGTACTTTGGACATGCACTTGCAATTCTGATTAAAAGGAATGGTTGCGCTAGTCCTAGAAAGACACTTGTTGACAATAAATTAAATAAATTAAAAATGATATATAGTACACATAAATAATAAATTAAAAATGATATACCAAACAAATAAAATGTTTATATTTGTCTCAATGGACTGTGTAGTCTACTTTAAATTACTAAAATCTAGGCAATGACCTTTGATTAATGCTAGTGAGCTACAATCTTGGAAAATTCTAATTATAAAGCGATTCAGTTTGTTTGTAAAATGCTTTTGATTTTAATTTCACTGTAGTCTACTTGTGGAAAATCTATTTGCCATCTGCTTTGAATTAGAAGATATGAATTAGAAAATATAAAAACAGCAATTAAACAAAAGAAGCATTACTATAAAGTCAAAAAATGCTATATTCTTAAGAATGTTTGGATAAATCTAAAAAATGTATGTCAATTGCATGTCTCAGATACATTCTCCAAACACTTAAAATAAAAAAAAAAGACTTTTTGTTGTTGTTTTGGGGAAATTGTGATCTACATTATAGCAAATTGGACTGTTGGTTCCATTAGTTTGTCTGCTGTGATTGTCCTCAGTCTTCTGTTTCAGGCAGAGTATTTTTAGTCCTATAACTTTGGTCCCTGCTTTGTTCTATCATGGTAATTTGGATTTTTCTTGTCCTTCTACTGTTTTTACTATACACTTGTATACCACATTGTTATTCTCTTGCCACATCATAGGTTTTTTTTTTTTACTGTTTACTTTAACTATGAGTCTGTTTAGTTCCTGTATCTTAGCATAATGTCATAGGCACCACTATACCCTCAGATACTATTAAGCTTCCCAGCTCTCCAGATTTCTAAGGTTTTAAATTATCCTTAAGCTACTTTACTTCAGAGCAAAACATTCAGCTATCATAGCTAAAGAAAAGTAAAAGTCTGCTACCTCATGAGAAAAAAGACAAAAGCTCAATTGGAACAGCGATAGGAAAGATATTTAAGTGGAATGAAATGGTGGGGGGGACTTCTCAGATGGCTTGAAGTATTTAGGTTTTTGTAAATCTATTATTTACCATGCCACCAGTGTTTACAACTAAGCACCTTGCCTCTTGCCTTATGATGGTTATTTTATAAGTGACCCAAGGGGATCCCAAAGTTTTAAATGTGCCAAAGAGCACAAAAGGTTGAAGAGTTGCTTTAAATATTTACCTCCACCATATCGTGTCAGGTATAATACCTAATGATTCTGTCCACATTAAAAATGCATCCAGTTCAAATGGCTGTGGATTATTACCACAAAACACATGTGAAGTTAACTGAACTTCTTCCACTAAGTATACATTGAGCATAACTGGAACAAGAATTAAAATAATCTAAACTGCACAGAGAATGTTTATTCTCTCAACAAACCACAGGGAGATATATCCAGTTCAGTCCACAAGGCTTCCGGGAAGAGCCACTGCTTAACAGCCTTGCTAATTCTGAAATGGTTGAAGCTGCTCTAATATAGTAAGAGAGGGTTGAATTTGTTCCATAAGAGGATGCAGGAACCCAAAAGGCCCAGAGTAGGAAATCTAGGAGAGTCTTCCTCACTGATCTTAAACCACGCTTGGTCATATTTCATTATTTTAATGTTAGATCCTTTAAGAAATTATGGGGGAACAAGATTGATCAAAATGTGGCCAGTTTTATGTTTCCTTATGTATTTTCATAAATTGAATGTGGAATTTAATCCAAGAAAATATACAACATGATGTCATTTCAGACAGTCATTGTGCAATCTGATCAGTTTTGAAGAATGAACTTGAACAGTTAGCATATGTTAATGGACATGTTGCTAGGTTAGGTGATGATAAGAGCCTTCCTCATAGTCAGAAATTAAATGTAATACTAAAAAACTATTAGAAACTATTTAAAACTCCAGTACAAAAAATAACTTTTTTAAAAAACATTTTTTATTTAATAGTGTATTGTGTGATCACTAAAACTTTGAAAAAAAATATAAATACTGTATATACATTAAAAATGCAAGTTATTTGGAAGGATTTATAAGAATTAAGAAACGTGATGATTTGGGAGATCCCAAACTGCAGAATCTCTAGCAACACCTTCCTAAGTGAGTGGTGAAGAAATTAAGTGCGTAGAACACTGAGTACAAGAACAAATTGCTTCAGAGGAATAGAGCAAAGAAAATTTCCTCAACATATTTTCCATAAAACAGTGGTTAACATTTGCAGCTGCATTTATGATGTACTATAAGCAGCTGCCACCGGGACCTTTTTTCCAATTGCCAACCCATTGCACATTCCAAGGAAGGAAAGAATATCCCATCTTCATAAATTCTGTCAATTAAGTATTTGAGCACAAGACCTCACAAGAACACCTAAGAAATTGCAATAATAGTTTCATATGTCAAGTCTTCCCAGGTCATTACATCAAGAGTGTAGAGTGTAAAACAGGGGTCCCCAAACTTGGTAACTTTAAGACTTGTGGACTTCAACTCCCAGAATTTCTTAGTCAGCTATGCTGAGGAGCTATGCTATTCCCAAGCTATGCTATTCCCAAGTTTGGAGACCACTGGGGCAGTGGTGGGATTCAAATTTTTTTTACTACCGGTTCTGTGGGCGTGGCTTTCTGGGCATGGGCATCTGATTGGGTGGGCATGGCTTTTTTTTTTTTGCTTTTTTGCAGCCACCCCCACCCATTTTGGGGGCCTTCTGGGCCTCAGAGGAGCTTCTAGGGGGGCGTTTTTGCTCCCCTAAGGCTCCCAGGAAGCTTCCCTGGAACCAGGAAGGCAAAAAATGGAGCACAGGGGAGGCACAGCTTCCCTGTTTGCCTCCTGGGCCCCCTTTGTGTCCTGGGCCTCAGGGAAGCCTCCTGGGTAAAGCAGTAAGGCAGCAAGGGGATCCCATCACAGTTGATTGTCGCAGGGGGGAGAAATACCTTAAGGAGTGACTGGGCAGAGGAGAACGCAGTTATGTTGGACATACGCACGATGTTGCGCATGCACGATAAGGACTGACTGGGTGGGGAGGGGGGAGGAGAGAGAGGGGCGGAGCCAGTCAGGGGCATGATTTGCCAGTTCTCTGAACTGCACAGAATCATAACAAATGGTTCTATAGAACCAGTCCGAACCAGTAGAATACCACCCTGATACAAATATAGATACATTCAAATGGAAATGAAAGAAGCTGTCCATTTTCATATTAGTGGCCAGTTTCTGTAGTAAACAGTAAGCAAGAGACCAGGGAGAGCAAATTATACAATTCTACCATTTAATGTGGTTGGGTCGCAGTTTCAGGAGTGAAAATAAGGGCTGTGTCAATAATGGCAATTTTATATTCTGCTTCAAAATCCTCATTAGCATCCTATGCTGGGGAAATTACATATATTTTTATTTGACAAACATGATTGCACTGCTGGGGAAATAACACATGTTTTTGTATCATAAACATGATTGCACTGCTTTCCTATAGCGAGGCAGACAATCCACATCCCGCTCAATCATAATGTGTATTTCTGATTAGTTACTTCATTCTTCTATATAAGATAAAGTGCTTTAATTTGATGGCAGAGTACACTTGCATATAGTTCTTCCAGAGTTGGCTGAAATACTCCTGTTTAAAAGTTTCAAGTTCACAAAATGCAACTTTGAAATAAAATCTCCAAAACATTACTAAAAAAAAAAGGGCAGGAATGTACTCTTTCTGAGATTTTTATAGTCCCTAAAGTTGTGATTCTCTGGCTGAAAATCACTGGGGTTATTAAGTAAACGTATTACAGCATATGAAACTTTGCCTATTTTCCCCTTGGTTTTGCTTTCTTCTGTCTATGTCTGTATTGCCTGAAAGCTTAAAGAGCAAATGCCACTTAATGGATAATACTGAACTAGACAGACCAATTATTCAATCTGATGCCCCAGTTTATTATAAGAGAATGGCAGCCTGTAACAAAAGGGTTTTTTTTTTGCAATGGAGTGTGGCTTGAATAGTGAGGTATATTTCCCAGGACTTGCTTTGCAACCGATTCTTGTAGCAGCCAACAGGAGCAGAAGTCTCCATTTTCAACATATCTCCTTTTCGTTCTCAGATGGATCTGGCACTGCTTATTTCCTGCCATTAAAAAAACCCATGCTACTCAAGCAGATGATTATTGAAAGCATTTGCCACATTTCACCCCAGAGGTGGTCGCATTTCATTTATGGGTGGAGTATTCCCTAGTTATAAAATTTATCCTTCAACTGTCAAGTACTTTGGGATTGCTCTGAGTGGCATATGTTATATATTATTAATGTTGTGGCAAGACCACCATCTCGTTGCCATCACAGTGTGGTGAATGAACTACTGGCAGAGAACTGAAAGAGGTATTGGTAAATTCTTTACTGAAAGATAATACTGCAAAGGGAGTAGACATGAAAGAAAAGGGGTCATAGCTGTGTGATAAAACACACATGTTGCGCAGAGAAAGTCTCCAATCTATTGCTTAGCCACGGCCTTCCCCACTCTGCTGCCCAAACATGTGTTATATAGATTAAAATAATTCCTATCGTCACAGTCAGTATGACTCATGCAAAATTAGAGAGATAAATAATCTGATCGGACTCATCTGAAAGGTAGACTTCCGTTTAAACTTAAACATGATATAGTGGTACAGAAATATAGCCACAAACTCCAAATTCCTCCACCAAATGGAAGAGCTGTAATATAATTCTCTCTCTTCCTCTCTTTGGAAGAAGTGAAATAAGTGAAACAAATGATTTAACAGGAAGAAATACAGTTTATTGGAATTAAACTAGATACAGCAATAGACTTTACATGGCTGAATATAGAATAAAAAGCACTAAAGAACCAGGAGTGCCTAAAGGGGGAATCCTATAGTGGGGAAAATTAGTTAAAGCTCGTAAATTAACAATTATGTAATATCACCTCATTTACCATATGTTCTATCAATTTTCCTTTACAAATGGAATAATTAAATCCAAATATATTGGCCAATGAAGCAATTCTACAGCAGAAGTGGTTGTTCATTTATGTACCTTAACTGTGGGTGGTGACAAAGGCTTTTGTCGGGAGGGATATATAGATTGCTTCTACATTTAGAAACTTGTTAGAAACCCATTTTTCTAGTAAATCAGACCACTGGTATATAGATAACATGGATTAGCAATAGTTTGTAGGCATTTAAGGTAGGAGTTTTCCCAGTCCTACCTGCAGATGTCAGAAATTGAACTGGAGATCTTATGCATACACTCTTAAAAGCAAAAGACATCTAAAATTTGGCATATGTGTACACTGTTGAATGGTTCTTCTCCCATAAAACTCACTGTAGTATGTATTGAGTGTTCTGCTGTGGGTCCAATAGTTTTGGATGACGTTCATTCTTTTCAATATTTTCAGAAATGATACTAATCTATGAGCTACTAGGAAATATGCAAGGAAGCCATTCCAATCTGGGGACTATAAATATATCATTTAAGGGGGGAAAAATGCAGGCAAGTTCTGTTAGTGGGTGGTAAGATCGAAGCTCAATTTCATGGGTTTCCACCCCACAAACTGTTCCATGAGAGTCTTTGCTCTGTTCTTTCATTCTTGGCTTTCTACAGTAGGGAACTTTCCCTTTGGATGAAAAGTATGTTGACTTTTCCCACCGTATACATTTGCTCATAAATTTGGATCGGAAAAAAAGTGGTGTTACAATGCCTATCCTAATTAAGAATACTACTAGAATAGTTAATGATGAGGAGCCAAAGTCTGATGGATTTTTTTACGGAAGTCATCCAAACTTTACATATATCTCATTTATGTGTAAAACTCATCACAATGTGGTTTTATCCATAAGCTTCCTCTTCGTCCAAGATATAGGACAATGCATGTATTTATAAGTTCATTCATAATTATTACCACAGTGTTTTTCAGGAACAAATTACTTAGGATAAATGTATGCTAATAGCTACCAGTGGTTTGGGTAGCTATTGAAGATGCGTGAAATAACATTGTCACTCCAAAACTTTGAATCCACACACATAAAAACAAGTTCATTTTTAAGCTATGTTAGGAAGTCTTTATATATGTGTTCATTGAAAAGATAAATGCTAGGTAATGTTCTATTCTGTTGAAATTTGACAAGTGTGAGTGAATCGTATCTTTTCTTTAAATCTTTATCTCAGAAATAGAATGAATATTCATTAAAGAATTAAGTATTTGCAAAATCATTTAGAAAAACTGCCTAAAGAAATTATATGTAAAATAATTACCTGCAGGAATACCAATACCCTAATCCATATTTTATCCTTTAAATGACCAGCCAAAATGCATGAACAATAAAAACATGATCTTTGGGCTTGGATTCTGACTTAAAATTTCCTTTTAAGTGCAAGGGATTGCCTGCAAATAGATACTTAATTCTGGATATTTCTAAATAAGCAATAATTCAGAATCAAAATACACGATTTACCAAATTTACTTTGAAAAATCTTTCTGTTATTGCAAGGGCTTGAACAACAGTGAGACTTTTATAAAATTCATGTTTGCTCTTTTTTGCCAATCTTCAATCATCAACAAAAAAGTCTTATTTTTTCCACTGAGTAATGAGTTTATATTCAAATAATATAGTTGGAAATTAGGAAGAAAACACTTGATCTTTGGTCAGGTTAAAATGACATTCCATGTTTCCACAAACAATGTAGATTGTTTTATATAATAAGACATAAACATTTTATAGCTTAGAAATATTTTATAATCATCTCAATTAAAACTGGGCAACTCACATTTCCTCCCAAGGTTTGAATCAATCCAATGACTTCTCTGCTCAAAAAAAATCAGCTTGTGGTGTTTAATTAATTTATTTATTTAGATTTAGAGGCCAAACAACTCTCACAGAACTATGTGTGACTTACATACAAGGCAAACCTCTTTAAAACATTCTCTTTATAGTATTTGGGAAAAAAATATTAGAAAAAAATGTGTGAAAAATGTCCAGAATAATATGAATGTAAGATTTATGAATGAATTTAGTATTAACTTTACAAGTAATTGCATATTGATTTCTTTTATATATATATATCTTTTATATATATATATATAGCATATTTTTCTTTGACCTCTCCATTGACAAGAAACACAGTTTTTTGAGGGGGAAGTAACTCATCGAGAAAATTTTATTTTTTCTTGATTTTCTCCAAGCCAGTTTCAATATTTGCCTGTCTGACACTTAATTTTAAAGGAAAACTGTTAAATCTGGGAGGGTGGTTCAAGAACGGAGGCAAGACTCAGATAGCAACAACAGCTCTTTATTAGTGACTTCAGATCTGAGCAACTAATCCCAGCCGCAGCAGCCACTTATATAGGGCTGGCTGCGGCTAGGCAGCCAATGAAAGCGATTTGAGTTTGCCGCTCTTGGCAGGGCCAATCGCGGCAGCCCGTTTACTGGCCAATCGCATCAGTCTATGGCGACCAATCACGATCGGCTATCAGCGGGCCAATCAGGTTTGCAGGCTTCGAGCCTGCTAGTCTGGAACACCCCTCCCCTCTTGGTTC